CTCTAGCCATATTAGGACCTTTCAATGGGAACATAGAAAGTGGTACTGCCTTGGTTTACCACAAGTGAATGTGAAATCTTGGAGGATAACCACATGCATCCTCGACTCTCGGACCTTGCCGTCGGACATTGTACCGCCTCTATGCTCGACCTGATAAGTCCCTGTGGCATGGTCAAAGCATTTAACCTCATGTGTGCTAGCCCTTTCATTTGCCTTCTCTAGGTGTGCCTTTGGTTTCAGAGCCCATATCTCTCCATCTCTCCGCAACTTTAATGCATGGGTGTGTCTATCGTTGAACCAGACAATAAGCTTGTAGAAGGTGAATTGAACGATTGCATTCACGGGCATACCACGTATCCCCAATAGCAACTTATTGAATGACTCTGCCATGTTGCTGCACTGAAACTCATACCTCCATCCATCGATGTCGTGAGCTCTTGTCCATTTCTCCAAATCCCTCATTAAACCTGTGAGCCATTGTCTACCTTCTGCATTTGATGCGGTTTTGACCTACTCCAACTTTTTTTAAAAGCACTTGTCCTTAAGCTATCGAGCAGCCTCCTATAACAGATCAAATTTATCCTTCACATCATCCTTCCAGAGTAGATTCTCGGCAAGGTGCCGAGTACACCAACGATGGTGCAAAGGTGCATATCCCTCTATGTGCTCTCGCACGGCATTAAGTATGCCCTGATGCTTATCAGATATGATGCCAACCTCCCGACCAGGCGCAACCACATGTATCCAGACTAGCCTAAAAAACCATCCCCAACTGTCATTGTTCTTCTCAACCAAAGCAAATGCTAAAGGAACCAACTTATTGTTCGCGTCACAGGATATGGCTATAAGAAGTGTGCCCTGGTATTTGCCAATCAAGAACGTACCATCAATAGAGAAGACGGGACGACAGTGCCTAAAGGCCTTAACACACTGAGGGAAGCACCAGAAAGCACAGAAGAATATCTACCTCCTATCCTTCCATGCATTTGGTTTTGAGATGTACTCATAATGTATATCTGGATTCACCACTTTGATTGCATTGAAAAGTACTGGTAGTTGCTCGTACCCATCCTCCGAGTCCCCATATATCATCTTCCATGCTCGCTGCTTAGCCCTCCAAGCTTTACCATAAGTTATCACATAACCTCCATACAACTTCTCAACGGTCCCGATAATTGTTCTAACCTTAATGTTGGGTTCTCCCTACAATATTCCCATCAACTGCTTGGCAACGAGGGTAGATATCAACTGTCGATGCCTCAGTGTCAGCACATGGTCAGCAAAATTGTGTGGTCCGATAACTTTTGTGATCTTCCACTTTCCGGTGACCTTTTGCTTCCTTGCACAAACCTTCCATGAGCAGCGTTTCTTGTCACACACAACTGTGTAACGGCGCTCCGCATATGAATGCATGACCTTGTAAGGTCTCTTTCGTATCACTGTAAACGCCTGTAACCACCTCTTCAATGCAGAGAGGTCCTTGAATACCCTCCCATTCTCAATTACCATGTTAGGGCCGGCCTCAGGAGCTTCTAGGAGCTCATTATCACGTCCTTCTGCACACGCCTGATCGAATGAGCAAGATCGCTGAACTCATAGACTCTTAGATCATGGCGGTCGGAAAAGATACGTCTCAGCATCTCAGCATCACTCTCTGTCAGCTCTCCAACAAGGCGATCATCATCAGAATCAAGAGCCCTTGCCATCTCATATGGCTCTGAATCATTCATAATTTCAACACTATTGGAGCCACATAATCCATCTCCACAGCGCACTTACACAACAACAGGGGGCACATCCACATTGTCAGGAATGTCTCCTGCAACATAAGTAGAGAAATAAGGAAAAAATGAAAGAAATGGATGCAAGGAAGGGGGTAAGCTCCTAATAACCATGTGGATCAAACACTTACTCGGATGATTCTGTGTCAAAGGAATCTCATGTGGAGGATCTATCACAACATCATGAGTCTGACAAGCATCTCCAACTACCTGATTAGGGGTAGATTGAGCATCGGGAACCAAAGGTGCAACCTCCACATCCATATCAGGTTCCGGGACGGGAGGGTCGAAGTGTGCCCTGCTGATCCATTGGTGGGGAAAACCCATGAGGGATGGGATCAACTAACACCCGACGCATAACCACGTCCCAACATTGTAGCTGGCTCTTCATAGCCGATCTCACATAGTTCTCCCACCGATCCGCACACCCAATTGGGATCATTCGCCTGAGGATGTTGGGAGGAGAACCTAGGTGCAGTACATCCTCAACTGCAATGCCATCATCATCATCTCCAAGGCAATGCAGCTTCTCTCAAGCCCTTGCAACCATCTCACTAAATGAAGGCCTATCATTGAATAGCACAGGCATGTTTTGCATGTCAACAAACTCAATATATCCATAGCGATCGTATTCAACGGTACCTTCATGATATATGGTCACTAGGTTGTCCATCTAGTTCAAACACATAATGAAACACTTGTTCTTTAGTCCAAATTAGACGATAGATAGTGCTTAACAAGTACTTTCTAACTACAAACTAAGTAGATAAGATAATAACTACGTATATATATACAATGTACTCACAAAATAGCTATGTCTATGTACCTATGTATCTATGTTTCTATCTATCTACATATCTAACTATATCTATGTACCTATGTATCTATGTTTCTATCTATCTACATATCTATTTCACTAGACCACTAACTAAATCAATTACCTAAGTCATCACATTAACTAGTAAATAACAAATAATCGAACTACTATATTACAATCAAAGCTAACTAAGTACCTACATTGCATATTCATAATTTTTACCTGGCGCGGACGGGCGCTGCAGGGCCGGGGGACGGCGCGGCCGCGGGCGGGGACGGCCAGCGTAGGCACGGGCGCGTGGCCGGCGCGGGCGCGGGCGGGGATGGCCGACGCGGGCAAGGACGCGGGGGCGAGGGCAGCGGTGACGGCGGCTCGGTACAGAGAAAGAGAGAGGGAGAGAGAAAGAAAGGAAGAACCCATACATAAGAGAGGACTTGGCGCTAGGATTGTTGGTGCAGAGCTCGGTGCCAAGATCTACGGTGCCGAGCTGGCTGTCATGTTAGCGTCCACGCCACCAACGTGGCCTCGATCTCGGCGTCAGCAACGATGCTACCGAGTTAAGAGTCCAGATTTTGAAATTATAGCTCCAGCAGCATATTTGTTATTTTTTTTAAAAAAAAGGGCTACAAAATAAAAAATTCGGTTTCTTCTTTGGATTTGGATGATTCGATTCTATCTGCAGATACCGGCATCTGTGGTCATTATTATATTCGACCGGTGGACATGCGTATGTGAGTAGGGGGCTGTTTGGTTTCGCAAGAACTCCTAAAATTCCTGTCAAATCAAATGTTCGATATATGCATAGAGTATTAAATATAGACTAATTACGAAACTAATTACATAACTTGCGACTAATTTGCGAGATGAATCTTTTAAGTCTAATTAGTCCATGATTTGACAACATGGTGCTACGGTAAACATGTGTTAATGACAGATTAATTAGTCTTAAAACATTCATCTTAGAAATTAGCCTCCATCTATGTAATTGGTTTTATAATTAATCTATATTTAATACTCTTATAAATATATAAATATTTGATATGACATAAATTATAAATTTTAGGAACACTAAAGAACCAAACGCCCGTAGCACTGTAGGAGTAGGAGGCCAAGGTCGAGTTCGTCGCCGTCTTAAGGTAAGGAAATGGCCTTATTTCTTTGCCTTAGGGTTATGGATGCTGTAAGATTTGGGGATTTTAATTTCCACTAGGGTTGGGATTTGGGGAAGAACAGGGGATTCCCTCTGGTTTTCCGTCTTCTCCTCTGCTCGATTTGATTTTCGAGCGCCGGCGCCTCCACTGTGTGGCGCAGCCGCAGGAGCTGGCCCTGGCGGTGGCCGCCTCCCGCCACGGCGCAGCGCAGGCGAGCCCTGGCGACGGTGCCTCCGCTTGCTGGTTTGCTCCCTCCCTCTTCCTCTGCCCTTGCCTCTCGCTGCCAGATCGATGCAATTTCCTCCCGAATGAAATGGTCTGAAAGAATTTTTGCTACAGTATTATTAGGCTGCATATGGACGATGGAGACAATTTTGTTTTACTTTCGTATATTGTTTGTTTTCTTTTGTGTTATGAATCGTGTCTTGCACAGCTTAAAGGAGTTGCTTGTCGTTTAGCGTTTTATCCTCATAGTCAAATTTGACTACATCTGTGCTTGCTGCAGATCATTTAGCGTTTCATCCTCAGAGTAAAATTTGACTGCATCTGTGCTTGCTGCAGGCGCTCTCATTATGCCTCTTCTCAAGATGCCAGATATGTCGGTTCTTTGGTCCAAGTCCCTGACCAGCTTCATCATGTGTTCTACAGATAGGTACTTCAATGTTTGAACATTCTCTTTTATCCCTAATTGCTAAAATAGTCATAACTAACGCTTCCAGATATCACCTTTCGATTTGCTATTGTTCACAAAAGAATATTTTACACATGCAGCCTTGCCATCTACAGTTTATTCTTGCTCACTAGGTGATCCTAACCGTATATAGAATGAAGCAAATGGTCATGGGTTTCATTCTTATTTCTGAGAGAGAGCACTGGAGTGCTTGCCAGGAAAGAGAGCACTGCAGGAAGTGAGAAATATGAACTTGATGGTAAAACTGACATCCCTATTGAAATTTAGTCTCCTTTTTGTTGGATTAAATTTAGTGTTTTAGCAGCAACAAAACCTGCGATTATTCATAGTTGAACCAATTCAAAATCATGTCAGTTTCTAATGCAATCATTAAATGCCACCATTAATCTTACACTACGATTGTGTGCCTGGTAATAGGTATTTTTCTTCTGCTACAAGGATAGGATTTTGTGTTATATTTTTTGCTCCATACACTCCTATTTACAACAGCAGTTCCTAATATGCTTGCAGGGAATAGGGTACCAACAACACGATTTTCGTCTCATGTTCAAGACCAAAGCTTACAGACCTAAGAAGTGATAAATACAATAATCAACATATTTGCTAAGGAGTTCATTGAAAGTCAGAATAACCTTGCCAGCAAGGATGCCAACTTCCTTATTATTAGTGCACTGCAGTGATTAATATGATAATCAAGATATTTATGAAGGAGTGCATTGAAAATGGGAGTAATCTTGGCAGCAACGATGCCAACTTCCTTATCAGTAGCATTCTTTTGCAACCTGTTCCAAAGGTAAACCTATAGCGGTCGCTTTTTTTCTTAGTCAACCTAATCAGATGTACCTTGATTAATTATTCTACATATAACCCAGCAGGCATAGGGATCAGCATATGCCTTTCATTTGAGAAAGAATTCTACATACATATTGTTGCTTTGTATGATCTACTTGCCGTTTCCATGTGCTCACATCCTAATGCACTTCCAACATTAAAACTTGAGTCTTGATTGTTTGGGTTACTGATTTAGTTCCCATTGGGTTACTGATCACATTATTTTCAGTCAGTTCACACTCCTTGGACTCATTTCCCAAACAACTGCAACACTGAACCCATGCCAAATGCAGCCTGTTTATCTTTCTTTGTATTTTTTCCTTATCCCAACAAGTACCTATGCCTGCACACTTCATGTGACTCTGTAATATAATGCCATGGACCCCTTATGCTGCAGTACTGAACCCATAATAACAAATACCATTTTTAAAAATATAAATATAGGTTCTATAGGGGCTTAATTCGCCTACCAGACATTGTATGACCTTTTAAGCTTGCCACCTGGGTGGATGGAATGGTCTGGCTCTGTTGTTGTAGCTCTACTCTTCTCTTTTTGGGCCTGTTTGGGATGGCTCTACTCCAATTTTTTCTGCTCTGCTCCACCAACTCCACCATGGAGTAGCTCCACTGTGGAGTTCCTGGAGCAAATGTGACTGTTTGGTATGCAGCTCTGCTCCACCTTCGGTAACAGGAGGTTTTGGTGGAATGTCCTTCTATGCCCTTGGCACACCCATCATCAGCATGACCAACGCCATATCCGCGGACGCCCATGGCCTAGAGGTTCTCCAACGCACCTGAGCTCTCCGGACCCGACGGAGGGCACAGCGTGGCCATCCTTTGTTCTCTTGGAGCATCGGGTTGCAGATCTGGAGGCCGTCGTAGGAAGCAAGCAAGTGGAGGTCGTCCTCAGAGGCAGCGGGGCTGAGCGTGGCCGGGGCGCTGCTCGCCGGTGGCGGAGGGAACGAGCGCGGCCAGGGCGCCGCTCACCGGTGGCGGTGGGGCCAAGCGCGGGCGGGCCGCCGCTCGCCGGGGGCGGAGGGGCCGAGCACGGCCGGGGCGCCACTCGACGGTGGTGGAGGGGCCGAGCGAGACCGGGGCGCCGCTCGTCGGTGGTGGCGGGGCCGAGCGTGGATGGGGCGCCACTCGCTGGTGGTTTGGGGAGGACGGGCTGGAGCAGAGGAGAGAGGCGACGGGAGTAGAGGACGATGAGGGCGTCGGGTGGGGGGCGACGGGAGGAAATAGAACGAAACGGTATTTGTGTAACGAGTGGCAATTGCGGGTAATTACCTCCAACTCCACGAGGACATACGAAACGCTGGTTTGTGGAGTACCCTCTGAGGAGCTACGCGAAAAACATGGAGTTGGACCAAAACTCCATCTTTTTTTTGGGAGCAGAGTTTGTGGAGTTGGACCTGTATGGCAGGAAAGTTTGGGAGTAGAGCTACAAAAGGTGGAGCAGAGCAGTCCCAAACAGGCCCTTAGTCGCTTTGTTTTTTTTTTACTACAAACATGTTATCCTTAGCGATTATCTTTTCTTATATTCCTCATTTTTAATGCATACATATTCAATATAATTTGTCTTTTCATACATTCAGATACTAGGGACTAGAAGTGAATTCTGGTGGCGGCCAACGAATGAGATAAAGAATAGAGGCAAGTCTTCAAGATTGTTGTTTATCCCCAGATCTTACTATATTTTGTTTGTCTTCGTCTATGTGCAGAATGACAGGCAAAAACTGGAGCCACATGTATGCTTTGGTGTAACCTTCAGTTCGTCATACAATTTGCACGCATGTTATGAAAGCAAATCATGCAGCACTTTATCAGGACAATTTCACTATGTGTAATGCCCACTCTTGCTCTTTATATATTTATAAACTTTGGACACCAGCATGCCGTTACTTCAATCATGTTGTTCAGCCCATTGTCAATTCTGACACATAACTGGGTTCTTTTCTTTTGAACTTGCTGTATGGCGCCCGCGGCAACGCGTGGGGTTCCTGCTAGTTTACTTTGTGTGTGTGCTTTACTCGATCTAGTCTGAATATCAACAGAACAGATTAAAATTAAGTACACCAAAAGCATATAAAAATAAATAAATACCAAATAATTTTCTGTGAAATTCACTATGAAAAAATCGTAAATTGTAAATGTACCTGTTTTCAAAAAAAAAAAACAAAAGCTCTGTTATTCAATTGAGAAAAAAATAAGGGTATTTATTTGTTAGTGGCAAGCGCCAAGTATAAAAGTTGCACCAAGCTACACACAGAGGAGACAAAACTGCCTTAGTAGCTAAGTAAAAATAGGAATGCTACAGTGCAGATGTCAGAACGTCCAGACGCCGTGTTTCTTGGGCCTGTGCACTATCAGCCCAATAGACATGTTTCCCTTTACCTCGTTCTTTCACCGTTTCTCAAAATAAAATAAAAAGACAGCGACATTTCCAACTAGCACTGCCGTCACAGCGTTCCCTACCACTCGCCTTCACCAGCGACGACCACCTCCACTTCCTCCGTCCTGGGGCCCATGCTCCCCTCCACGACGCTAGCCCACCACTTGCCCCTGCCCTCATCGCCGGAGCCAGCGCCGGCGTCCTCCATGTCACCTCCTCATGCGGCTAGAGACCGCAAGGGCGTCGTGGCCGTGACGTACTTCATGCCCGCATTGAGGCTCCATGCGCCGCAGTGCCCTTAGCGGAAAAAGCTCGTGACAACCAAGCCCGTGGTGCTCTTCGCTCTGCCACCTCCCAGCCCTGATCTATCCATCGAGACGGTTATTGAGTTCCTCAACGCGCCTGACATGGTGGCCGCCTCCCACTACAGTATCGTGCCTAATATGTTGCAAGCATATGTTTCAAGTGTTTCAAATGTTTCAGAGGTATGTTACAAGTGTTTTATATGGATATCGCAAAAGTAGATCGAGATATTGCATACGTTGCAAAGTGTTCCAGAGGTATGTTGCAAGTTTTTCAGAGGCATGTACAAGCGTTTGTTCAAAATGTTTCATCCATTTCAAATGTATGATGCAAGCGTTTTTTATATGGAGGTTGCATATGTTTCACATGTCGCAAGAGTATGTTCGAAATGTTTTAGCTGTTTCAGCTTTATGTTGCAAGTTGTAAGTGTTTTATCTGGATGTTGCATATGTTTCACACACATGTTGCAAGTGTATGTTCTAAATGTATCATCTGCTTCAGACGTATGTTGCATTCAGGTGTTTTATGATGCAAGTGTTCCGTGTTTTAGAGGTATGTTTAGAGAGTTATTGGGGCACAGCCCGGGCGCCGTGGGAAGGGGCGCGGCGAGCCAGGGGCTAGCGGATGGGGCACGTGGCGCGCCTGGGGTTTTGCGGACAGGGCGTGCTCGTCCTCATCCCGGCTCTCGGTCCCGCCCGAGCAGAGAGAGAGAGGAGAGGGTCAAGGGGATGGAGCGGCGGACGCGGGGCGAGGCGAGGTGGATGTGGAAGGGGTATGCATGTGGGGCGGGACAAGGTAGATGGGGAAGAACTGCAGTGATATGGTGGGAGTGCTCCATGTTTTTGACGAGCTGTTCTGCTGAGTCATTCGGTATGGTCCAACGCAACAATTTTCCATTAGACGTGCGGACACCAGCAATTTCCAATAAAAATACATAGCAATTGACCTGAGTTAGAGTAACACTTTATATTACGCGCGAGCAGGCGGCGGCGCAACCTGCGAGCGGCTGCGGGCACGGGAAGGGTGCGTCGCGGTGGCGAGCATCTGCCAGCTCAGGGAGGCAGCGGCGCGCAGCGCCGGGAGCGGGCACGCGAGGTGCCTCTGGTCAGGTGCGAGCGGCGTGGCACAGGAGGCGGGTGCTGCGACCAGGGGCAGGGGAGGACGGTCGACGGTGTTGTTTTCCTTTTTTTTTCTTCCCTTGGTGCTGTACACTCGGTCGGTTCGGTTTTAATAAAAAAAACCAAAGTAATAAACCAAAACCAAACACGTTGGTGTCCCATTTAGGGGAAATCCGAGCGGTGCTTCATTGTTAAAAACTGAACTTTTTGAAAACAAAAAAAAAAAAGAACCGAACATTTGGTTTAGACCGAATGCCCAGCATTGACTGATGAGACGCTGAAACCAGTTTTTTTTTCTGACTCTGAAACCCGTTTCTTCGTTGGGTTAGACGATTCTATCAGCGGATACAGGCATTCGTGGGTATTATATTCGACCGGTGGATATGTGTATGAGTAGGAATATATAGAGTACAAAAATATGGTTATGGATGGATGTAAATTTTTACGTGTTATAAGTAATATATCGCAGATAGATGTTTACTTTATGTGTGTTTTACTCGATCTAGTATGATGAATATCAACGGAACAGATTAAAATTAACGGAAGTACTTGCACCCCGAACGTCCTGTGTCCGGACACCCACGGTTACCACACGCCCGCGCCAGGTGGGGACCATCCGCGCCGCTCCCCGCGCTTCTCACTCCGCTTCCCGCGTTCGCAGCCGCGTAGCGCTCATCTCTCCGCATCCCACACGCATGCATAGCGCCCAGTAGCTGCAACAAGCGGTTGTGAAAAGTGAGTCACATTGGAATATGTAAAACACTCGATCTACTTTGAAATATCTAGATAAAACATTTGTAACATACATCTGAAGACAGATAAAACACTTGAAACATGTATCTGAAACACTTACAAGACATTGCAAATATCCAGATAAAAACACTTGTAATATATGTGTGAAACTTATGCAACATTCAAGTAAAAATACTTTTAACATACGTATGAAAAAACAGATAAGACATTTAAAACAGACGCTTGTGACATACACATATAGCCATTGTAACATATGCAACATCTCGATCTACTTTTACAACACCCATATGAAATACTTGCAACATACCTCCGAAAACATCTAAAACAATTTAAACATACGTTTGCAATAGATTTTTTTTAATTTTAACACTTTTTTAATCTAATTTTAAATCTAACACTGCATGTTTTTTTAAACTAACAATTTTGACCGTGCCTATTGCCCTGGCGCGGCCAAATGCCTGTGCCACGCCATGCATGGTGGCGCAGCAGAGGTCTAACGTGCGACGATCGGTTTCGGTGAATGTGACGTGGCAGGTCCTGCCGCGCCACCATGCATGGCGCGACGGTGCCTCGCCCGCCTCTCGCCCGGCGATACCTGGACGGTTTAATCCGAACGCGTCGCGCCGATAGTGGGATTAATTCTAAGTATTGCTTGACGTAAAATCAATAGTAGATTTGTTTCTGTCTTTTATTGATTTTTTTTACGGTCGAATAGAGAATTTGATAAGCCAATGATTTATTTTCCGTCTTTCATTAAACGGTTAACCACTATTTTAACTAATCGATTACGAAAAATTGCCACCGGCATCGAGATATGCCGAGACTGCCGGTTCCCGAACTAGTTGGTACTTAATCTCGCCGGCAGTGCTGCCGCGACGCAAAGAAACGAATATGAAGCAAATAAATGAAGTTCGTGCGCAAGTTGACAAGCTGCCACATAATATTTTCATTATTTTGACATAAGTTTGACATAACATAACCAAATAACCCCACAAGTTTTGGACGCCAATATTCGTTTGACCTAACAAACTAAGACCCAGAAGTGTAAGGATCCCTCAAACGTCTCTGTCTCTTCGGATTTGTTGGCAACACATTGAGAGTGTAGCCAACATCGGTATGGTCGCGTCGACGGTGCGTACGGCTCGTACCCTGCAAGTATATGATACACATGATTACTTATAATTCTTTATGATCGTTAGTTCATG